CGGACACATGCCACATCAGACCATATCCTGCCAAAAAACAATATGCCATATCAGCGGTACCAATGCCATGTTAGCCTGTTGCCAACGCAACTCCTCAAACTTCAATGTAGTCTGGTCATCATCTTCAAGGGATGGTTGCTCACAAGTGCACTACTACCATGTCTAGACTTGCGGTATGACCGCTCGCGTTAATAAACGCGTTTCATATTGCACTTGCGGCACCTCCCACTTACCTAGGTGCCACGTCAGCACCTGTCAGCAGACAACAGATCGCGATGAAGAGATGCTCTGATACCAAATTGTAATGAACCCAGACCGTGAACACAGTTGTCAACAATGCAAGTCCAGGATGTCAACAGCTGATGAGAACCAATAATCAAGATAGTGTCCAGACAGAATAAGACGAGATAATCATTCACAGACGAAGAAGAGAGGAGGGAGGATAGACAAAGGAGAGAAAGTATATACAATACCCATTCCTGCTTCGGGCTCCCTCCTCCAACTCCACTTTAGTAATCAACAGTCTGAACGAGTGTCTGAAGTAATTTCAATGTGCCACGTGGCACTGCTAATTAGTCCCTCATCAGTGCTGGAGCAATATCATCATGAAGACCACCAGGTACGTATCACGATCTATCCACAGTCCTGATCTTACTCTCCCTCGCAACCAGTCACCTCATGTAAGTAGTGTGGACAATGCCACATCAGCAGACGAGACATGTGGCATATGCCACATCATCAATGAAGACCAAGAACAGCGCCACATCATCATACCACGTAGACCATGGGCAGCGCCACGTAGACCATGGGCAGCGCCACATATACTAGAGGCAGCGCCACATCAGCATGCCATGTAGACCACAGGCAGCGCCACATAAACCAGAGGCAGCGCCACGTCAGCATGCCACGTAGACCATAGGCAGCGCCACATAACCCAGAGGCAGCGCCACGTCAGCATGCCACGTAGACTATAGGCAGCGCCACATAACCCAGAGGCAGCGCCACGTCAGCATGCCTGGCGCACAATGCCGATGTCACCTCTCCCTCGTGTCGTCGTCTGTAGCTCTGATGCACAGCCAGCGTCTAGCCAGCGTCGCGCTAGCATATTGTCAGTGTCAAGTCAAAGTCAAGCCAATGTTGAATCAACATAGCAAAACTGAATGTCGATCCCCTGTAGACCCCAGCTTATGTAATGTTTGACTGGCCTCCAGTCCACGAGTCACAGTCGTCCAGATTGACCCGCCGTCGAATGTCTGGATCGTGTACAGTTGCAGTTTTCCACTTGGCTTGGATGATGTCCGGGTACCTGCATACAAACAAGTGTGTGTGCTTGACCGACAGCCTGGGCTAGGTACAAATTGACTTTGACTTTTGGAAATCCGGCAGTTGATTGCGGTCAACTGCCTGGCGTTCAGACCCTGTAGCAGACTTAGGGCCTTTGCCCCCTTATGTGGCCTGGACTGAGGGTTGCTGCGTTCGGCCCTCAGACGACATATGACATGGGTTATTGCACCCATTTGAAATCTTCATTCCATCTTGAAATTAACCTGATCTGCGCTGTCCTCCTTTGATCTGAGGACCAACACAGCTTCCTCCATTCTGCACAAATGAGGTTATAGACCGAGAATTTGAATTTGTTACGGATAGCAGAGGGAGACCATAATTTCGCCTTAAATCTTTTGTCCCTCTTGGCGAGCCACAGAGTCTAGAAACCCAGGGCTCTGAACTTATTAGCATGATAAGGAGTCGATCCAGTCCAAAAACCTCTAGCCACGATGCATTCCCACCACAAATGACTTGAATCCTGCAGACAACCATGAGGACAGACATCGCAGAGTGGGGAGATATCCATCCCTCTCTTGGTACACCACTCCGCTGTGGGTACACTTGAGTGCATATGCAGCCACTGGAACTCAGCGACCTCAACTTCCATAATGCTTAGAATCATAGACACGAAAAGCTCAGCCCATGTCCTGCTGAAGGAGGGTCATTCTGAGACTGGGTTTCTCGACTTCCAGCTGTTCCAGGTGTTGGCCTGTAACGTGGATGCTCTCGACCTAGCGAGTAACCTTGTTTCGATGAGTAGTCTGTGATTAGCACTATGGAGCTGGTTGCCAGTTCCACTGAGATTACCCAGCCTACCCTTAGCACGTCCACTTTCCAGTGCTTGCAGTGGGTGCCTCCTAGAACTAGCGAAAATCTTTTGCTGCCCTTGTACACCTGTTCGACGATCTTTACCTCTTCCCACTCACCTTCTGTGGGTGGGGTGACCGTGTTCTGCTGTTTAGTAAGGAATTCTTTACCCTTGGACCATACTGATGCTACCACAGATTGCTGGTCTTCCCGAGTCTCAATCTTGAAGAACCGCTCTTTCTTGCCTGGTTCACACCACCATGTGTCCTTCTGCCACTTGACCCCTTGTGTTCTTAGACTATTGATCCACTCCTGTGGTATTGCCTGCTTCATATTCTCCATGTTCTAATCAATGTTCCACAATCCTGCCAGCTTGTGCTTGAGTTGCTCCACTGTTTTCCATTGCATCCATTTCCTAGCAAAATTGTGAGTTCTATTTGCAACAGAGAAAGGTGACTCTTTGTCATCCCTGATGGCAGGGTTTTCGAATAGGCAGGTACCTAGGATTTCTCTCTTAGTCTTTGGATGGGATATTGTGTAGGGTAGGATTCTACTTCAAGCTTTCAAAATAGGGGACCAAGGGGGGGATTTTACTGAGGAAATAAAAGGATGAAGGAGTAGAGTCTGCCAGACAGATTCGGGATCGGTCAGACCCCAATCCTCTCATAGGATAGCCTGTGCAAGTATCATCTAGGGTTGATTTGTCTCAGGAGTGATAAGTTTTACCAATCATTTTGCTAATAGTGCATCATTCTGAAATTCGGGGTCCAAGAGACCCAGACCGCCTTGGGATTTCTTTACTATTATTTTCACTAGGCAACCTTACGTATGCATGCTGGGACATTAGAGTCACCCTTCCAGATATAGCGGGTGAGTAACTGTCTGATCAGTTTTGCTGAACCCAGGCTCAGTTGCAGTAACCCGTGTTCCACGGCAGTCTGGGGCCCCGAAACTGCGCCCAGACGACACAGGCCAAACACGGCTTGCGCCAGCCAGTGCGACCACACACTGCCCCCTGGAAAGTCGAGGGTCCAAGTCAACTGTCAGGTCAAAGGTATTGCGCCCAGGCCCTTGGTCGGATACACTCACTTGTTGTGCGCAGGTACTGAGACAACATCAAGGCCACAGGGAATTATGTTGCAGGCCAATCTGGATCGTCATTTGCGTTGACCTCCTGGCTTCGAAGAACATTCTATCTTGCATCAATGCTGACTTCACGCGTTGACAATGATGCTAGCACGACACTGCAACGTTGGTCGGGCGCTGGCTCTACACTGGCAATTGGGAGAACTACGGCGACGCTCTGCTGGCTCGGCATAGTGGCCGGCTTGCAATTGTCTTCTGAGCATGCTGATGTGGCAGCTGCCACGCGCCGCCGCTAATGTGGCCGCTGCCACGTATACTATTATTGTTAACATGGCGAGGCTACATGACTGGCATTGTTGTTTTATTTCAACGACATTCCGGAGGAGATCATGACTGTGGGGCGATAGTGGATACGTACCTGGTTATCTTGACGTCGACATTGCTCCAGCTCGCTGATGAGGACTGATTGACGTGCCACATGGCACATTGTGTTAAAACTTCAAATTCACATTCAGATTATTGATTACTAAGGTGGTGATCGAGGAGGGAGCCCGAAGTAGAAGTGGGCATTGTCTTCTATTTTCTTTCTAAGTCTATTCTCCCTCCTCTCTCCTTCGTCTGTGTATGTTTTTCTCATCTCATTTTATCTGGACACGATTATGATTATTGATAATCATCCGCAGGTTGATATTCATTTGGGCTTGCATTGTTGACAAGTGTCTTCGTGGTCTGGGTCCATTGCAAATTGGTATCGGAGTTGTCCTACCGACGATGACCTATACGAGAACGACGACGACAAAGACACACGTGTTGACGTGGACAAGGGACAGCGCTTGAGAACGCACGTAAGGTGCTGACATGGCATTGGTATCCCGACAGGAAATGTTCCAGTCAGGATCGCGTTGCGATCCAGATCCCAATCGATCACATTTTGCGATCGGGATACACTGCTGACGTGGCCAGTGATTATTGAGGAACGTTGACGTGGCAGTGCTGACTCATCACTCGTCTATTGTGGTGAGGAGCTTCAGGCTAACGTGGCGTTCCATTACCTGGCTGACGTGGCATTGTATGATTGACTGGCGACGTGCTGGTATCACTACAGGAGATCAGGCTGGTTGACGTGGACGAACAAGGCATACGCTACTGACGTGTACCCCCATTGATGATGATGATTGGACGAACGTGCTGACGTGGCAAACTAGATGAGTTGCTGTGTTGGCATGTCAGGGGTGACATGTGGCACGCACAAACGTGTCTAAGTGGGAAGATACATTTTGACGACTAAGGCGGCACGGTTGGAAGACTGACGTGACTGTGGTGCTGGACGTCAGATCGAGTGTATGATCACATTGGACTTCAGAAGACACAGCATCAGAAAGGAAGGCGCTAACTATTGATGTTATGTTTGTTGGCGGACTTACCCGTTGTCGTGTTGTGTGCATGTGTACTCACTTGTGTGCTGTTGATGATCACGCTGACCTGGAATGCGGTACCTGTATTAATATAGGACGTCATCACACAAAATAAATAGAACAATTGTCAGATTAGATAGGAGAAATTGAAATTATTTCTTTCTGTTTCACTCTATTGAAATCTTTTCTGTTCAAGATTGTGTTGGCTTAGGTGGTTGATCAGATTAATTGTCTTCTTTTGATTATTTGAGGTAGATCAACCTGGCCGACGAATTTTCTTGTTTTTGTCTTTCAAAAATGTGTCACTTCTGGAAAAATTTGCAGATGTCTATTTTGGTGAGGTTTGTGACCACGTTTTTGTTTCCTATTCCGATCACGCTCTCTGTGGGCGATGGACCGTCCGAGATTAAGACTCGGACGCAGGCCAAAAATAGGAAACAAGAACCACTAGCTTTGTGAAACCAACTGTTGATCGAAATGCGTCTATCCGGACTGGATGCCGAAAAACACATCCGTGACATATTTGATTTGAAGACGGTTGAGGACCGTCTTAAGAAAGTTGTTACAACTGTGGAGGTTGTGGCAGCTGGGACCAAGGTCTCCAAACTGGTTGCCCAGTGTCGACAGGCGCTGGACTAGTTTGCACTAAAACAGGTGGAAGAAGTGATGGAATTGACTCATAAAGGTGACATTAAACCAGAAGTGACCAAGGCTACGATTGAAGCAAACATGCAGCAACTTAAAGAAACGTCGTGGAAGAAAGAAAGAAAGAAGAGCTAGCAAGAAGGAGAGAACAAAAACAAAGGAGGGAACAGAAAGTTAAAGAAATTAGACAAGAGATTGAGACAGAAACTAGGGAACAGGTTGACATGTCACATACGTTGTCTTATATTATGACTTACCTTACCTTTTTGGAAGAGAAAATTGACAAACAGCAAACACAGTTAGATGAGATTGTTGTAGGATTAAAAACAATCACAACCATTATGAAAGGAAAGAACCAGTTAGAAGTTAAGGAAGAAGAAAGAGGAGAAAAAAGAGAAGAGAAGAACGAAGAAAAAAAGTTGATGAGTGATGCCATCAAGTCGGGTCATAGAGTCAAAACGTCGACCAATGGGAATGGACCATTGAGTCCATCTTTCTCTTCCCCTAAATCTTTTCATTCTACTCCTTCTCCAAAGTCTCATTCTTCTTCGACAAATCCGGACAAGACAACTGCAGAAACGAAGGTGCCAAGGAAGAAGGAAAGAGTGAAAAATAAGTTGTCTTTTACTTTTAATAACAAGAAAGATGAGTGTTTGCCTCTGTGGATTGCTGAAATCCAAACATATGTAAGCACCGCTCCGGTTGAGACGGGGTCCCAAGTGGCGTTCACCACCTCTTGCATGGGAGGTGCGACCAAACAATGGGTGTTTGCCGAGGCCAACGCCGCGGGTTTTTATGACATCGGTGAGTGGGCAAAGACATTGACCCTGAAACAGTTTTGGCCAAAATCAAGGACCGTTTCCTAGACAAGACGACGGCGGACAAGGCGTTTGACCAATTAACAATGATTGGTCAAAAGCATTGGACGTCGGTCGAAGCTTTGTCCCGCGAAGTCAACCAATTGTTGCAGGTTCGAGGATTAAACCTGCAAAACAGCGAAGTGTTGTATATTTACTCTCGCGCGTTGCCTGAGCCCATCCGGGGATACTTGGTGGTCGAAGCAAAGTCCAGAAAGTATAATTATAGGCAATTTCGAGACCTCGCTCTGCAAAGGGAGCAGATGGCTTCTTAAGTTAAAAACTTCTATGCAGCCGTAGTCAAGTTTGGAGGAGGAGGGGGAAAGATGTATGACGGAGGAAAACGAGTTATCTGGCGACAAAAGCGCAAGGACCACATCCTCGTTGTCTTTGATGATGACACGGTGGAAATGTGGCCGAAAGAAGACGGGAATGAAAAGGATAGCAACAGTGACTCCGGGAAGGGGGAAGTCACCGATGTTGTGGCCACCAAGGGAGGGCCACCCAAAAATTATGTAAGGAAGAGACCTCGCTCGTTTCTATTGCACCCTGGCATTGTCGAGGGAAAGCCTTGGTTAAATATGAGATTGACTCGTGAAATTTGGTAGGAGCGCATGGATAATGCGCAATGTCTTAAATGCGGCACATCGGGACATGTGATTGCATACTGCCCTCTGATCAGAAACTGAAAAACAAGCAGAAAGTAGGAGTAGCATCTGTTCCTACTGAGATAAAGGGTAAGGACGAATAGAAAGGTGAGGCGCCAACGAACCCGTCCTACCCTTCTTCTCATATGGCAGAGGATGAATCTTCCTTAGCCCATCATCCATACCACCTTGACATTGTCTGATGTTCTGTCTCTCTGGATGAATCCCTTGATGAGTTAGGTAATAAATTGCTAGCTTTACGTAGCTCATGGGCTCGAAAAGAAAAGTCTAAGGGCGAATTGTTATTTGCTGAAGTAAAAATCGCACGAAAACGAGTAGGTGCGTTGTTGGACGCGGATCGACAAGGTCCTACATCTCCGAGAAAGCAATCCGCAAGTTGCATCTCAGAATGAAGATGAAAGATTTGTCTCGACCTATCATGTCTATGTTAGCGGACAAGAGTACAATCACTGTCTCACAGTATGTTGATCGTATTAAGTGTCAGTTTAGAACTAGGGAAGGAAAAAAGATTATGCATGAGTTGTCCTTCCTAGTAGAAAATAATTTGCCTTTTGATCTCAAGTTGGGTATGGATTGGCATGAGGAAGCCAACCCAGATATTGATTTAAAAGGCAAGGTTGTGCAACTTAAGGATGCACAATCTGAAATGAAACCTATTAAGTTGTATCATAAGTCTGACTCTGACTCTAGTTTTTCTATTTGTTGTATGAGTTACCCAACTTTTCGATCAATGGTTTCAAAGAAAAAGTTGGAACAGGAAGTTATGATGGTGCTGGTAAAGAAAGTTGGTGAATCTTCTTCTTCCTGCCCTACAACTATTGAAAGTCTTCTTTTTGAGTTTAAGGATCTGTAGACTGAGCCCAACCGAATCACAGAACGTGCTATCAAGCAAACTATTGAAATCATTCCGGATAGCATGATTCCTAAGGGCCCTATATATCGAATGTCTTCTAGGGAACTTGAGGAATTAAAGAAACAATTGCAGGACCTTACGGACAAGGGATGGATTCGTCCTAGCTCATCTTCTTGTGGTGCACCTGTCTTGTTTGTGCCCCAAAAGGAAGGTGAACTGCATTTATGTGTTGACTATCGAGGGTTGACTGTCGTCATTGTCAAGAATGTCGAACCGCTTCCTCGCATTGACGACTTACATAATCAGTTGCAGGGTTGCAAGTATTTTAGTAAAATTGATATGAAGTCTGGGTACCATCAGATTGAGGTGGAACCCGCGGGAGCGCTACTGGGAGCGCTGCGTCCAGTCCGATTAGGCGTGTTCATACGGCACGGTGCGCTAGTGACGTGAGTGGCGGGTGGTGGCGGTAGGTGGGTATCGTATCTGTTGCACGCCGCGATAGGCGATATCGGAATTGAACTGCGCAACGATGGAGGCAGGCATGGCGGGACGACGGCGAGATCAGGATAGCGATCTGCGGCGGTCTATGGGGATGGTGGATATGGCGATTTTCGGATTGATGCAGGCATGAGATGAAGGGTGGCCGGTTTCTCTCAGCCTTGCTCAGAGCGCGTTCTTTTGGTACGGTGCGCTGAGATGCGAGTGGCGGGTAGTGGCAGTGAGAGAGGTATGATGGTGTTGTAAGTCACGACTGGTGATGGGAACTGAAGTGCGCGAAGATGGAGGTGGGCATGGCGGGATGATGGTGAGATCAGGGCAGCGACCTACAGCGGGTTTACGGTAATGGCGGTTGTGACGATTTTTAGATTAATGCTGGCATGAGATGAAGGGTGATGGTTTCTCTCGGCCTCGCTCTCTGTGCTCTTTTGGACGTGGAGTTTGTGAGAGGGCGAGGTAGATTGAAGATGTATGGATGGGCGTTATGATATGCAATAAGACGACAATATTATATGGGCGTTGCAATCACGTCAAGTGTCTCCCCCCTTTCTTAGTAGGGCAGTAATGGTATGGATGCTTGAACCCCCTGCAGCGACCCACCAACAGGTTTGGTGAGGAGACACTGCACTGTCTTTGGACTTTGACGATGACCGTTATGTTTTTGGTGCTAGAGTTGCTCCCAGCCTTAGAGGCTAGCAGTGGGAGGAGGGGTGTTACTTCTCCCCCGAAGATGGAGGGGTAGGGTTTGAGGAGGATAACGTATGTGGGTGGATTGAGGAAGTAGGGGAGGAGGATGGGCTTGATCTCCTTTTGCGTTTGTGTCTGTCGTTTGGCCACCCTGCTTGAACTGTACTTTCATAAAGAGTTAGAGTAGAATCCCTCTATGATATGTTTCATACTTTCCTTTGATAGAAAACTGCTCAAACTCCCATAGTTTTTCAAAGTTTCGTGTTTTACTAGCGTTTGATAGTATTTCTTGATTTGGTTGTTTCATGATAGGTCGTCGTGACTTTGCACTACTTGTTTGTCTCTTCTATGTCGTAATCCTTCATGATGACGATCTAAATTAGTGTTTCTGATTGGGTGTATTACTCGTGTGTTTGTTTTATGTTGTAATTCTTGATACATTCAATAATGACGATCTGATTCAGTGTTTTTTTTATTTGGTGTTTCCATCAGATGAAAACAACTTCTTAAACCAATACGTGCCATACGTTTTTGCTAAACGATTCTCAAAACGTGGTTTGAGAATCTGATTCGAAAATCCGTTATGGATATCTAAACCTGAATTTCATATAATTCTCGAGAATTTGGTCATTGAGTAACTTTCTGTAATCATTGATCTTATCTTTGGTCTGGATTGTTCTGATATTCGTTAGTCCAAAAATTTCAGCTGATTTCGTAATTTCGTTTCTGATCTCCGATGCCTAAAGTAGGCTTCTCAAAGTATTTAAAAAAAAACTATGTCTGTTAATCTCAATACCCTGTGGTAAAATTTGATCCGGATGGGCTTTTTCTGTTTGCCAATCTTTACCTCCTGGTCCTGAGTGGTATAATTTTAGGCTTGCTGTGCGTATCTGTGGGGTCTTCCTTGAGGGTTGGAGCCTCCCCCCGTAAGGGTTTCACAAGGTTTGAGGTGTTATTCTTGGAGGGGGGAGGTGGTATTGGGGGATTGTCGTCTCTTAGCCAGACTGATTTAGGGTCGGATCAGTACTGGCGGGCGGGAAGAGAAGACAAGGGGGTGGCTGCTTATAACAGAGTGTTAGGGTTTTGTTTTTTTAGGGAAGGAGTGACTTCGATGGCTACGCAGTGAGCCGAAGGGGGGGGAAGCTAGAATAGAAGGAAGGAAGGCAGTAAGGGGATTTTCAACAGAAAAGGTTGGTTGTTAGGGCAAGTAGATTAGAAGGACGATGTTGGGACAACACAAGCCGGTGCAGGAGCATCTGCTCTGTAACCCAGGGGAGCTTGAGGTTGGTGAAGTTATGCCGAGGGAGGCATAACCTGATCGTCCGACGTAGTTGGCGCTGGGGTATTGACCCTGTAACCTGCTTAGGGGCTTGCCGATAAGGGAATTGTCGAGGGAGGAAGGCACTTCCTGTCCGTCGGAGCTAGGTTTATCGGTATTGGGGAGGGTTGTGGTGCCCTGTTACCCTAGCAGAAGGGGGTATGAGATCAAGTGAGTTCTGGTACGAGGACTGAAAGCTCTGAACGACGCCCCATCTGTTGGAAGGGGGAATCTAGGATTGTAGGTAGTTTTAGTTTTGCCTCCCCGTTCGTATATTTTTCTTAAAAGTTTTTTTAATGTTCTCAAAAGAGTTAGGTGCTTAGTTGTCCTAGGAATGTTTTTTAGGACTCTGGGATCCCTACTAACTCATCTTAGGTGGCTTCAATGTTGTTATACTCAGTGATTTGCGGTTGTTCGATGCCAGAACAACGCTGACCGGTGCTGGGGTGTTGCCTTGTAACCCGCGATGCAGGAGCGTGAGGTCTGGTAGAGAGATCTGGGGAGGTTTTGGGGTGGGCCTTCCACGGTACAACCAAGGGTTGTTGTCGGGATGACGCCGGTCAGAGCTGGGGTGAGTTGCGTTGCCCTGTGACCCAGCAGAAAGGTGGGGTGTGAGACCTAGAAGAGGTCGGCAGGGAGTAGGACAGTGGTGAAGAACCTTGGAAGGGTTTGTGTGGGATGTTGAGTTTTTTGGAACAATCGTAGGACCTCTGTGGCCTATTCTCACTTCTCTTGAATGAGAGAAAGGTGGGAGAAGATGGTAGGTTATCACGCGTCCTACCAATGAGGGGGCTAGCTGGTAGGATGAGAGTATGGCATAGCAGCAACAGCGATGGTGGCTCTGCTGCAGTCACTCTTGCCAGAGTGAGGTAAAGTGGATTGATGGGGGGTTTTCTGAGTCGTTTTCGAGTTCTGCTTAATCATGAAGCTGTCGTGGATATGTCTAAAGTAGCTCCAATTCCTTCGAGCCAAAGCCAGGTAACGACCCCGATATCTCAATTTTCAAAATTCCATCGTTAGGCTAACTGGATTTTTTCTAGTAGCTCCTTGTCTCATTTTCATGGAATTTTCCGATGAGTTTTCTAAACGTACTCGTTACGGGACGCTGGGCCCGGTTCCCGGTTTGTGCCAATTTCAGAGGATTTGGTTGTATCTATGGGACGCTAGACCCGTTTTCCAG